GATTTGGTTATATTTGGTTTTTGGATGGAATTGTTATAAATTTTGATTATAATTGGATGGTTGAATGTATTCACGTGTACAGTATTTTCTGGATGTATTCAAATATTAATGTAATTGTACAAGAAAGTATAAATTGTAATTAATTTTTTTTGCTGGAAAAAAGACAACCTAGATGAAATTCTGTCTAGATTGAGACAATCTAGACGGAATTCCGTCTAGGTTGTGAAAAACCAACCTAGACGGAAATTCCGTCTGGTATGGCAGACCAGACAGAATTCCGTCTGGTCTGTCAAACTAGACGGAATTCTTTATTCCGTCTAGGTTGACTTCCGTCTAGGTTGATCAACCTAGACGGAATTTCGTCTAGTTTGATTCAATCTAGACGGAAGCAAAATAAACCACCCAAACTAGACGGAATTCTGTCTAGATGAACTAATCTAGACGGAATTTGAATCAACCTAGACGGAAATTTCCGTCTAGGTTGATCATTTTTCTACTAGTGAGTGCAGCACCCAAACACATATTAATTAACCACGGTCTCTTCGTCGAGATCACCATCCATCTAAAATACAAACGTCATATTAAAGCATATACCAACATTGATTTTTTTTTAACATATCAAATTAGAACAAGTTAGATAAAATAAAATCTCATACTCAAGGATTATACATATCAAATTCTTATGTAGATACAAGCTCAGATTGTGTAGATACAATCATGCAATTGCGTAAAGCAATTCTTGTGATTAATGTGCATGTAGTTGAGGCAAAAGCATGGGATCAACCCTTTTGTTTACCTACCGGGATATTTCACGTGCCATGAAATGCTAACATGTTTGTTCATGTGTTTGTGCGTTTATCACTATATATGAGAGTATCCCCTTATCATATACACTTTTATACACACAAATACACATACATACATACATACATAATTTATAATCATGATGTTAGAATCTCAAGGTACAAAATTTGGACAAGAAAGTATTATACCCTTGTTAAAGTGCATTAGATGTTTCCTTTTCCACTTCTTTACTAACATCCATTCAAATTTGTTTTGCAGTTTGTAGAAGCTATGATGGGCTCAAGAGATTTAAGTATACAAACATTAACGATCTAAATGATCAAGCTAAAGAAAACAAAAAATAATAATTAATGACTACATACCAAAATCACAAAAAATAACCAACAAAAATTATATACACTGAAATAGATCCTCCAATACATAACATGCAAACTAAAAAAGTACACAAAATAATCACCATTATTTTTTTTACCTTCCTAGTGGCAGAAAGCAGAGAATCACAGTAGAGAATCTCCAATATCTACAGAGATCAAGTAACTACTCTGGATTTGAAGTAGTAACTACTCTGGATTTGAAGTAGTTTGTGCAAATCGTAGTGGAAAATGGGGGTCAAAACACCCAAACTTAGAGAAATTTTAAACCTGGTGTCAAAGGAAGAACTGCATCAATAAATGAAAGCCATAAAAACTAAATAAATAAAAAAGATTTGATTTTTGGGACCGTACTTCCATAAATCAACCAAGATCTTTCATTTTGCATATCCATCAACTAATTTGGGTGAAAGATCTTGTCATTTTTCCTTCTATTTTAAGGCTAGGGTTTCAATCTATAGGCTTGATCGCACAAAATGGGTTTCAAGAGAATATTGGATGAGAACCAAAGGTGGACGACTCGGGGGGGAGGGGGAGGAGGTGAGGTGGTGGAGGGCGAGAGGGCGAGGACGGTGATGTTGACGCTGAAGAGGGTGTGGGTGGAGGGGAGGCCGCGGCGGGAGAAGAGGCCGAGCCCTAGATTGGAAAGCGAGAGGGAAGGGGAAGGAGGAAAATCTTGGTTGATTCGGGCAGGAGGGAGAGAGGGGGAGAGAGGGGTGACTAGAACGAGATGGTAGAAGGGGATGGAGATTCGGGTTTTTTTACGGAGAGCGAAAAGTGGGGTTTTCCTTCGAAATCGGCTTTTTGGAGCTGAAATTTTTCGGGAGGAAATCTGACGTGGCGTCCCCTCTTTCCTTCACTTTCTTTTTTATTTTTTGTGAACCAAACATCCAATTGTGAAGGAAGACAGCTGATTTTCCCTGCGTCAGTTTTCTGATGGGCCACATTCTACCACTTTCTGCATTTTTTCGACGAAACAAATAGGCCCTAACTGTCATGTGGTGATTCTAGATAAACCAAAAATTTCCAATTATATATACAAGACAGATAAGAAAAAAAAGGTCCAGCTCAAGTTATCTACCTTTGATGAATGAACAACACTACAAGGAAAAAAAATTTTAGTCCAATTCAATATTTAGAAGCAAGATCATAACCAAAAAAGAAATTCATGCAAAAAAAAAGATATACAAACTGAAGAAACCAAACAAATGCGTGAGCACGGGCATAGTGCTTGTACATTAGATAAATATAAAAATTAGTGAGTGGAAATAGTAGGAATATTCATATTTGACCCACATTTGAAGGGACAACAAATAGTGATTTTAATTAGGAGATGGGAATATACCTAAGAGCTTAAGATTTTCGATTAAAATTGGTTAATAGCCTCTATTTAAAGCATATTGACTCTTAATTGGGCTCCTCCAACAAATAATATGGGAGCTAAAGTTATAGCCCAAATAAAAAAGTGAAGTCTTGATGGAAGCCCGAAGTTGTCAGGAGAATGACTAAGGTCAGGAAGATTCAAGTTAGACCAAGTCAAACTAATCCACAAATGGATGATGTCCAAGATTTCCCATAGAAGTGATATAGTCTAATGATCCTACATACATGTTATGTAGTCTTGTTGCCTCCCATGATTGCTATTTAGAAGAAGTTGGTGTTCACGAAAATATTGAACTATACTTACAAATAAAGGGGGCACTATAGGGATGTTCATGTCTTAGTATAGTCTCAAACTTGAAAGGATAAGAAAGAGTATTGAGTTTAAATAAGAGTTGAATCAAATATCTAATAGCTTAAGTTTTTAGGTTAAAAAGTACAAGTTTCAACATGGTCTTAATTTAACAGAAAAGTAATCATCCCCCAAACAAAAGTGCAATGTTTTTAAACATTGGGTATGAAATGGGCAAGCCAACAATTTAAACAAGTTGTGAAAATTTTCTTTACATCTTGCTTCTTGCCATATCTTGCCCCTTTACTTGATTATTCTACTTATAACCTAATTTATGTTCAACTTTTGCACCCGAAGTTATTTGAATTAACTCCACCAAAGTTAGTTTTTATCTTATTCAGACATGTTCGTCAAGTTTCTGCATTAGAGCTCGCACTCAACAATTTTTGGTATATGAAGATTTATTTAAAAAAAATAAACAAACAAACATGTAGGAAACATAAAAATTTTGAACTTAGCCTCTTTTTAATTGACGTTGCATAAATAGAACACAAAGTCTGCCCACTTTCATTAAATCCAATTTGCTTATTTACTCATCTTGGATCAAAGATACGTATATAGTTCAGACACAAGCACAACTATTACTAGTTTCAACGGTACAAACTGATTACTCTGGGATCATATGGAGATATCCCTTATGCTTCAGTTATCAAAGTTACAACCTTATCATGCTACTATTATGAATGCATAATCTCAAAATAATAATAATAACAATAATAATAAATTAAAATCCAGAAACTAGTTTGGTCAAGTGAGGGGTCAATTTGGAACTGGTTTGCAGTCACATCCAATTTCTTTTGGGTTACCCGCAAGCAATAAATCATTTGGGTTTTACTTTAAGGGGCTGTTTGTTTGCCTTAAAAAAAGAGAGAAATCAAAGAAATGGAAAATTATTTCTAAAAAAATTTGTTTTGGGAATGTTTGGTTGGCTAAAAAAAGAAGGAAATCAAAGAAACGGAGATGATATGATGTTAGTTGTCACCTTATTATAGGACGATGTGAGTGATTTTTTTTAAAAAAATTGTTTTGATGTTGTTTGGTTGCCGAAAAAAATAAGAAAATGAATTAAAAAACCTATTTCTTGTAATAGGTTGTTTTCTTTTGTTTGGTTCATTCTTAAAAATAAGAAAATATATGAGATGAGATATTTCTTGTAATAGGTTGTTTTCTTTTGTTTGGTTCATTCTTAAAAATAAGAAAATATATGAGATGAGATGAGTTGTCATTATATTATTGGATGATGTGACCCACACTTAAGGAAATCGTTTTCCTAGCTTTTTCGGAGGAAATAGGTGGAAATAAAATGTTAATGAGATGAGATGAGTTGTCACCATATTATTGGATGACGTGAGTGATTTGAAATGATGATATGAGATGAGTTGAGTAATGTTGTGGATGAAAATAATATTTTATTAGATGTGGTGGATGAGTTGTTGAGTAAAAATAATATTTTATGAAAAATTCTTTAAGGACCCAAAATATGGGACCAATAAAGGGGACAAGTGAGGTGTCCCCCTCCTATTTGATAATGAGTTGGCCATCATTAATGATGGCCAACTCATTATCCAATAGGAGGGGGACACCTCACTTGTCCCCTTTATTGATCCCATATTTTGGGTCCCTGTAGCAAAGCTCATATTTTATTAGATGTGGTGGATGAGTTGTTGGATGAAAATATTTTTTTATTAGATGTTATGGATGAGTTGTTGGATAAAAATAATATTTTATTGGATGTTGTGGGTGAGTTTTAAGGATGGAAATGGATGAAATTGTACTTTTTTGATATTTTCACTTTTTCATTTCCATTTCTTGGTTTTTAGAAAATAACCAAACAGACCCTAATCAACCGAATCATTTCTTTCTTCAGTTTCCATACAATTTCTTCACGCGATGAATAATAACAGTTGAGCCGTAATCTGCCTAAGTTTGTTTATAGAGACACGTCAATTCTTAGTTACCTACCTTCATATGAAAGCACGCTAACATGAATCTCAAAACAAAATCAACAAATAAAAAGATATAGGGAAATAAAAGCTCCTATCAACTTAATTGGAAGCCATTCAACAATGCAACTGTCAAGAGTAAGCCCAATATATTCAGTAGTACTTTCATTTTCATTCTCTTGACGAGAAAAAAGCTTTATTACCACTTCCTGAACCCTTAAAAATTATAGTCCCAAAAAAATTACAAATTAATCAGCAAATGAATACAATCTGCACTATAGGCCCTATACACAAGCTCTAGCCTCAAACTTGGGAAACCCCACAAATGCAATGGACAAGGGAGCAACTGATATAGGTGAGTTTACAGGAACAAGCACAGGATTCAAAGCAGGGATATCTCCATCTTCAGTGAGCTCCAATATTTTCCCATTTAGTAACATAGTTCTGCTTAAATGGTTCCCACCCTTTGCAGTAAGATGGTATTCTTCTCTCTTCTCAGCTCCATCAGAGGCTTTTCTCCCAACCCATGAAACTGTTCTTTTAAGACCGTGAACGAATGAACTGTCCTTGTTGGTGTCTACTTCATCAAGGTCGACATTGATGTCGTTTCTAACTGACACGCCAAATTCAGTAGATTTGCTGAGATTAATTAGCAATAGTGCTACTCCTCCCTGCAATGCAACGAAAATAATTCATGAGTTGATGTTGCTACGGTAATAATAATGCTTGAATATCTCTTCATCATACTTTTATGGTAAATGCAAACAAACATATATCAAGATCAAGGAACAGATGGGTGATATTTGCAAAGAAATTTAATGAGGTTCAGAGACAATAAGAATAGACCTTCAAAATTTGATTTATCTCAAATTCCTGTAAAAGTTATTTCTAAACCCTCATCTCACATTTACTTTAGAATTCTGCAAGGATGGAGAAATCCTAATTCTGCTAAAATTATTTTCTCGGAAAGTTTCCCATGAAAGTGGGCATTTCCAACCCCAAAACATAACTTAATATCTCTAGCATCCAAGTTACATCGAAATGAACAAGGTTTGACATGTGGCATGAAATGTATGAACCTCGTTATGTGGAGATACATTTTTGAAGCCCTTATTAATTAAGGAGTTTATTTGGGAAACCACGCATGGAGATTAAAAAAAATGAGAAAGCGACTACAAAAACTTCCTGACCTTATTCTTCCTGCAATGAGCATAGGCTCGTAAATATGGTGATCCACTGATATCAATAGAGAGAACTCCCTTGCCCATGATCTGATGCCATAATAATGCACTGGACAAAACAACAGAAGTAGAATTAAAACTCTGGAGTGCATAAAAGGTACCGTAAATATTAATCAGATGCTTGCAGAGTTCCGATTTTCTTGCCTGTAGTAATCAGGATTCGGTACAAATGTTTTTGTGTCGAGGAGGCCATAGTTGCCACCAATTAATGATTGTCTACAATAAACCTTTGTGTCATACTTTGATGACATCCCAAGTTGATCTAGGTACCTGAGTTGTGTTCAAAATGAGGTCAGTCATTGTGATTGAAATCAGAAAAAGTAATTTGAAATTGGGCTAATTGAAGATAGCCTTTACTGAGGTGTGACCACTTACACCTTTTAACTCTTTTATTAGCATTTATAACCCCTGGGCTGCAGATGACATTATTTCCCAAGTTGATGTCACGTGGAAATCACGTGAGGATAAATTACTTTCTCAATTTCACTAAAACAAATACTAAATTACCCTGTGAATTGAGGGCACAGGGTTAATTGCAGATCGATCCCCTGTACTATCACCCAGTTGCGGATAGGCCCTCTAGTTCTATTGTTGCAGATAAGACCCCCTGAATGAAATGCTTTTCTTACTCTTTTACCCTCAGGAGGTCTATTTGTCAAAAACCAATTCTGTTTTCCAAGGGTAAAAGAGTCAAACATTTCACTCGAGGTCTAACAGCAAAAATAGAACTTCATGGGGTCTATTCACAACTGGGCAATAGTATAAGGGGTCTATCTGCAATTAACCCTGAAAGTAATGTTGTTTGAGGTTGAGGAGTAAGTGCTAATAAAGCTTAGGGGTTATAAGTGGCTATAAGCCTACAACACCACAATAGAAGGGTGTATCTGCAATTAACCCTTTGAAATTTGAAATGTTGACAATCAATTTAAAAAATAAGACAAGAAGACAACAGGATTTACCATAAGCTGTTTAGGAAAGTATTGGAAACAAGACGACTGCCGCTGTTATACGCACCGCCAGCTTCACCAACCCAAGCAGAAGACCACGGTCCATGTCTTTTAACGGTAAGTTGGATGGTTCTGAATGTATCTGCTACTCGACTCAAATATTGTGGATCTGTAATCTTATTTACTATGTTGCGATCATTACCTGAAATGAAAGTAGAGTTCGCTCAATGTAAGTTTGTATTGAAAACTTCATCAAGAATCCTATGGTATCTGAATATTTAAATGCCAGCCCAACATACAAGATGAAAGACTTTGGTGAGACTCTCTTATATGATCAGCTATGTTTCTTGGAAATGGGTATGGGTACCGGTACGCGTATATGGCACACCACAAATTTGCAATATGTAAGGTGAGGGGACACGATTATATATGTGCGTGTATGTATGTATTCAGATTAATAATTTACATGAGATCAATAACTTCCCAGTTATGAGAATTAAAATTCCTATAATATTTTTATGCCTCTTTTCTAATGTAGATAATAAATTGAAAAAGCGCCCGCTTTGAACTAGATACTACAAAGGATCCTTTGAAAACATAGTTCTGAACTGGGTATTGGCTGAAGAAATGCGACCCATGTCCAACGTGTTTCAGAAAGGGGGTGTAAAGTGTAGGATATATGTCCAAGAAGTGCATGACGAGTATTTTAAATTAAAACATGTATTACATAATTGAGTATATGCCCGAATAAATGTATGCATATATTCAAGAAGTATAAAGAAAGTAGTAGTGCGGGTACAACGTACAAATACGTGTCTAGCACAGTATAGCTTCAGATAGAAGTATCCAGGCAACATAGATGATCAATTATAGAACATACTATATCGGTTAAACGTAATGATATATAATCATATGTAGATGACATAGGGACACCTACCTGAACCAAGATTGTAAATATGGTGGGTCATGGCATTAACAACACCTGATCCAGATACATCAAGAAGCTGAGCATACCATTGCTGTTCAAAAAAACCTCCAGGTGCTACCAGTAATGGCCTCGAGGAGGAATTTTTATATAAGTCATCAAGGATGGCTTTAAGACTAATTACATCTTCTCCATACTGTTCTGCAGCGACACTTGCACCAATTCCACGTCCACTCAACTCATTTCCTGATGCATGAATAAAAATTGTCAGGATATCAATCGAAACTTCTAGTAGAGAGACTAAATACTACTCTAAAGCAAGTATTACCAAATTCCCATGAATCAACAGGATAACCCTTCGAGATTGTGTATTTTATGAAATCTCGGGCGTTGGTGGAATTCCAAGGACCTGCCCAGATACCACTATGCAAATGTTGTCTTCCACGGAGTGCGTTAATGCCAAATGTGACAATTGCCCTGCAAACAGAAATTGTTTCTTATGTCAACATGTTGGCACTTGGAATAACCTCATAATAACAGGACGTAGAAACTAATATCCAAAGGGACAAAATTAAGTTTCAGAGATGAAGAGTTACCCTGTCTTTTGAAATAAAGCATTAAGTGCATCCCATCTTTCCATGCTCAAACATCCCTTAGAGAATCCGAACAGCCCACCAGCCATCTTTGAAAATGGTTTACATGGATAACCCAAATTTCCAACATCATACACCACTTGATCTTGCAGAGAACCTCCAACTCTTATCCTCAAGCGTTTGAAGGCTGCAATCAACAATACAATTGCTATAAGTATTATACTACATCATACACACCACGAGGAATTCAGATAAGCTGAAGCAAACTTCATCAAAGTACAAATTAACCAAGGACTAGAACTAAGTAACCTTTGATGGCATTGGCTAGAAAAGGATGTTGTAGGTCCTGCGGGAAAAAAAAAAAGAAAACATAACATTAGTTTCATAACATTCTGATGAAGGGATTTTCGTCAATTATGACCGGAAGAAATCACAAAGCCTTATTTGAAACTTTACCAGATTTAGAACAGAAGCTTGCCCCCATGGACACTGATTGTAGTTACACTTTTGAGGAGGCCACCAATCAATAGTAGCACAAACAAATTCATCACTGGTTTCAGCTATAGTGGCTGAGCCGCGAACTATAATGGTTACATCTGACGATGCTTTACACAAAACCCCCGAAAACGAGAGGAGAAAGAGAACCAAAATCAGCCGATAATTCATGGCTTTAAGCTCAACCTTTATCAGACAAGCTGAAAAGAAAAAACCAAATGAAAACATATAAGATGCTATTATCCAACTTAACCAAACACGCTTAGCTAAAAAACAATACAAAGTACCCAAAAAAATATAATATTTTTTGGCATAATGCGCCTACAGGAGCCACCATTGAAAAGTAATTAATTAGCTTGCAATATAATTCACGCTCAAAGTTGGGATTTGAGACAAACCAGCTGAAGATAACAAAAGTTATATCTGGAGTACGTCTTAAGCTATGAGTTCTTCTTACAATTAGAGAACAAGGGTTCTTCTCTTTCTCTCCATTCAAGTCAATTTGATCAAAGTACTCACAAAATCTCTCATGCAAAAATAAAATTCTAATTTTCAACAAAACAGGGGGGAAATAAGGGGAAAAGAGTATCACATTCACAACCAAAATTAGAATTTTCACTCTCAGAATTAAATCCTACTGACTTCAAACACAATAAACAAAGAAATTTAAAGAAAACCCGGATGATAACATACCTTAAAATAATAAAATATTCGCTCCAGTGCCTCAAAAAAGGCTCCTTTTTGATGAATTTGAGCGCAAGATGGCTCTTTGATCCCAAAATCTCTTAGATACTTGCTCGAATTAAAATGGGTAGGAAATAGATTTCTGAAATTGTGATCAGAGTTTATAAAGTCTATCGCTGGTTCGGTCTTTAAAGCAGACTGCTCTGGTCCACCAGCAGAGAGAGCTGAGCTATCTAAATAATGCAGAGAGTCCAGAGACCCGCATTTTCTACGAAATTTGTAATTTTGTACATTTTTTATTTTTTCTATTTTTCTTAAAGTAATTAATTTTAAGTTGTTTTTCTCATGTCTTAATTACCTTTGTCAACATTTTGCTACCTTCCCAGCTATTCCAACCGCCGCCCCGTGACCTAATCTTGCAATTTCCGCTTTTAGAGGTTTGTAAATTTAAATTTTAAATTTTAAAGTTTTGAAATTATTTTGAGAGGTTTGGAATCAATTGAGGGCAGGTGGGGCCAGTTGAAAGGACGCAAGGTGCTCGGATAATAATATGTGCTTTAATTAATCTCTTTCCTCTAGCTTTCCTCTCCGATAAAAAAAACAAAAGAATTTATTAGACGAGCACTCCAGCGTGGAACCGAGGGATTGAAATCCTCTCCTAAGGAATAGTATTTCCTAAGATCTCCTAATGCATCTTAACCTTTGATTTTGTGTATGAGCACAAAAAACGAGGAGGTCCTATGCAATGAATGGTTGAGATGCATTAGGAGCTCTTAGGAAACACTGTTCCTTAGGAGAGGATCCCAATCCGGAACCGAGACTCGATTGATTGGATGTCAGTACTTTTTTGTTTTCTATATTTTTGTTTTCCATGCTTTTTTGTTTTTAGATTATTCAAAGAAGGGAAGTATTTTAAGGAAACTAGCATGGTATTTAGTATTTTATGATATAATTTGATTATCTTATTAATGTTGTTGTTACGGTCTTAGTTGGTAACTGATTTACCCAACAAGGTTTTAGTGAAGAATTGCGTGATGCATTCAAAGGCTAAATATAGAAATTAGTGGTTCAACTGTTCATCTTCAGCGTGTCCCTCTAATATCAATGAACAGTTCTTTGCACGTGCTACCTCACGTGTATTTATGGGATTTTGGACGTTTTTCTACGGATGATCCGCTTTAAGAGATGATAATCCAAAGAAAAAAAAACTCTTTAATCAGTATATAAAATCCAAATATCCTTCTTCTGCAATAGTTCAAGTCTGTTCGCTGTTTAGATAACTATGTCTCAAGTGAAAACTATTACGAAATAGGCTAAGATGCGGAAGCGTACAGACCAACCAATTAAATTTAGCCAACAGCTTCGGTGCTCCAAAGCAGCTGGTGTAGTTTGTTTCCTTGAAAGTCTCTCTCACATCCCAAATTTGAGGGATAAAGTAGTTGACAGTAGTTCCACACCTAAAAAAGTAACTTCACTTAGATAAAAAGGTTATTTTAGGAAGTATAAATAAGAAGAGAAATATGAAGTATAAATAAGGGCAAATTAGTAAATGAAATTAATGTTAAGTTGGTAGGAACTGATTTGTTTGTTAGAATATCATGATACACGCATGTTTAGAAATGAAATTAATGTTAAGTTGGTAGGAACTGATTTGTTTGTTAGAATATCATGATACACGCATGTTTAGCTCTTCACATATTTAATAAAAATTAGGAACTGATTTGTTTGTTAGAATATCATGATACACGCATGTTTAGCTCTTCACATATTTAATAAAAATTGTGGTTTTTTCTTGGGGTTATTTACAATTAAACACCCTACAGTTTACACAATTTGTAACTTTAGTACTCTCTTGCCCAATAATACCCCAAACTTAAATCATTTATTATTTTGATACCTGTAAAAAAAATTTCTTGCCCAAAATGAACCCCAACATTCAATAACTTTTTACTTTGATATCCAAGCCATGAATTTTTTTTATTTTAGTATCATAATCTTTAACTGGAAATTAAAGTTCGGATATCAAAGGTAATTTTGTGGACTCTGATGCATTAAAGCTATATTTGATTTAACTAATGGGTTTTTCTCGCAAAACTAAATCTAGGGTATCAAAGCAAATTTTGTTGAACTTTAGAGTATTTTTAGGCAAAAATGAACTTTGGGCACCAAAGTTTAAAATGAAGAAAAGTTTGGGGTATTTAAGTGCAAATAACTTTCTTCACTTAAAAACGCTTTTCTTTGGAAAAAAATTCCATGAATTTTCTATAAAAAATTAGTTTTTGTTTTATTAAAGTTTCATGCTCTTTTCTTATCAAAATAGTGAGTAAGAGAAGGGAGGATTTCTCCCTCTTCTGGGTTGCGAACTCAAACTGAGGTTGAATAATGGTTTAGAAAGAGAAATAATAGGAATGATCTAATCGATACACTAAAGACAAAACTGCCCATTTTGTTTTTCTACCTGTTTTTGAATTTTCTACTATTTTTAAATTATAAAAATGCCTAATTTCGGAGTACCGAAGCAATCCTCTTAAATTTATCTATTAAGAGAAATCAATCATCTAGTAGTATAAAAAAGAGAAAACGCTAGAGAAGGGCAAATCCGAACACAAAGCAGATACAATATGGACAATCTCGCAGGAAACTAAATCAAACGCAAAAGCAACAATTTAACTTAGTTTGGTAATCACCTATGTCCACGAGAGAAAGAAATCACGAAGAATACAAGATGTTGTCTTTCTCTCTTAGACCCTCTCCTAGATCTCACAAAAGCCACTCTCTAAGCCCTAGAATTTCACTTGTTTCTTCTCTACTCCCTGCTCAAGCACCCTTACAATTAGGCAGATTTTTCTTGATAACTTAATTTATAATTGTTGATAATATTGTTGATAATAGTGTTAGTAGTGGGTTTTTAGTCCCACATTGGTTGTGAGAACACACATCACCATCCTCTACTTGTATAAATAAATATGCACACTCAATATTCAACTCAAAGGGAAATTTACCCAAGACTCTCTCTTACTTTAACATGGTATCAAAGATAGGGTTATTATTTCACTTCCAAAAAAAAATTTTAATGCTTCTACGTTCTTTTGCCAAATCTTGACATTGCTGCTTTGCAGTCGTTTAACGCTTTTTTGCGTTCATCTGCCAGATTTTTGGTCTTGCCACTTTACGGCTTCTTAACGCATTTCGCGTCCTCGCTTAACCTTGGGTTCCATTTTAATCTTCGGGGTTATATTTTAAACCTTCGAGTTCTATTTTAACGGCATTACTGTTTCAAGATCATCTCTTGATCTCAAATTTACGGTATAGCGGTTTTTCAAGACCGTCTCTCGATCTCAAATTAACGTCATCGCCGTTTCAAGCTGTCTCTCGGCCTCAACCAAGCGGCATTGTCGTTTCATAGTCAGTAACGACATCATCGTTTCAATCCTTCTCGACGTCTTAACGTCTCAACATCGGCATTAATCCGTTGTAGGTCTCCGGCGTGAGCATTAGATTTGGCCGATCTTCGGGCCACCTTGGTCACCGGTTGCTTCTTTTTTTCTCATATTTGACAGTCATGTATAACCTTTGGGTTCAAATTTAACCTTCGGATTCTTACATTTTAACCTTCGAGTTTCTACATTAACCTTCAGGTTCTCCTTTAAACATCCGGGTTTCGTTCAAGGATTATTATCTTGATCTTTGAAATGCTGCTATTATGGCCTCTTCACTGGAACTTGCTTCTCAGGCTCGGTCTAAGCTCTTTTGCATCTATTGCAAGAAGGAGGGACACCGTTTTGAGACATGTTTCTAGCTTCATCCTGAGTTACGTTCCTCAGGAACTAGCCGTAATCAGCGATCCCCTCAGTCCCGATCCTCTAGTGCACCAGGATTATCGGTCAATGTTATGTCATTTACCACTTCATACCTTACCATTCAAGCTATTGCAGATATTAGCCGTTAAATTGCGGCTCTTCAGCATACCACTTCTCCATCTGCTGTAAAACTTTCCGATATTCGCCGTCAAATTGAGGCTCTTCAAGCTATTGTAAATATTAGTCGTCAAATTGTGACCCTTCGGCATACCGCCTCTCCATCTGCTGCACAACTCTCTGATATTCGTCATCAAATTGATGCTCTTCAGCATAGAGCCTCTACATCTACTGCACAACTCTCTCGTATGCGTATTGCTGGTTCTTCAACCAACCCTTTGGTCTTTGGTATGAACGATCTCTAGATTTTTGACTCTGGATGTTCCTTTCATATGACTCGTAATGTCTCCCTTTTATCTTCTGTCTTTACTTCCTCTTCTCTTCCCCCTATCTACACGGCTGCTGGACAACATTTGTCTATCACTCAGTATGGCTCTATCACCCCACAAGATCCATCTGGTCGTCTAACTCTTGGCCCCGTCTATGTGACTCCTCAGTTGTGTTTGAATTTAATTTCTATTAGCTCTTTATGTATGGATGACCTACTTGTCTTATTTTCTTCTGATACTTGTATTGTGCAGAATCCACAGACGAGCAAGACTGTTGGGGCCGACCGGAGGAGACACAAACTGTAGTTTCTAGAATATCTTCACCTTCCAGAGTCCATACGTCCACATTCTTTTGTTGCTTCTGTAAGTCCAAAATCCTCTACCTCGCTTTCCGCAAATTTGTGGCATAGACGACTTGATCATGTCTCTCATAAAAGGGTGGAAAGTCTTATCTAGTTTGGAGTACTTGGTCCCATATCCTCTCATTCTTATATTGAGTCATGTACTAGTTGTAAATTGGCCAAATTCACTGCTCTACCATTTCTATCCAGTACATTTGTTTCCACTTCCTTATTTGATTTGGTCCATTCTGATATCTGGGGGGCCAACTCCTCTGTCTTCTTCATATAGCTACTTATATTATGTTAGTTTTATCGATGATTTCTCTCGTTATACATGGGTCTACCTACTTAAAAATCTACTTATATTATGTTAGTTTTATCGATGATTTCTCTCGTTATACATGGGTCTACCTACTTAAAAATCGCTCTGACGTACTTGCTGCTTATCAAGCTCGTTATACATGGGTCTACCTACTTAAAAATCGCTCTGACGTACTTGCTGCTTATCAAGCCTTCACTGTAATGATCTGAACTCAGTGGCAAGCTCATATTAAAGTTTTTCGTTCTGACTGTGCCAAAGAGTACCTATCCTCTACCATGCACTCTATCATGTCCTCTCATGGGACTATCTTTCA